AGGGGTGTAGCTCAGAGATAGAACATTCATGGTCTCAATACCCAGTACCATAAAAAATACATATATATATATATATATATATATATATTATATATTAATATATATATGTATATATCAATTATATGCTAAAGGGAGAAAAACAAAATATTTGCTATTAAAAAGTGGCAGTGGATTGGATAGACTTAAGAACAACTGAGTCCCATTTGAACCTAACTAAGCCTTATCTATAACATTCCACTCTAGTATCCTTATGAAAATATTCAGTAGTCACTAAATATGCTCTGGACTTTCTTGCCTTTGTGCCCAGTATTATGCTGTTCTTCCACCTACACTAGCCTTTTCTTGTCCCCCCAACCTTTGTGGCCTAGTTTGGTGGTACTTTCTCCACACAGCCTTTGCAGATCACCCACTCACCCATAATGAATCCTGAAATGATAATTGTCCATATTTGTCTACATTGTCCATAGATATCATAAATCATGCATTCTTTTGAGAAAGAAGTGCTCCATTATTTAATGCTGTTGTGTGAATAGATTCTCTCTCCAGAATTTCATAATTCTTTGATTCTCCCAGGAGACTTTAAGGATATCCTAGGCAGTTGATAAATATCTGTTAAGTACCTGGAGCAGCTACTTATAAAATACATGTGATTAATTTCAATATGAAAGACTAAAGAGACTTCTTTCTGTTCTCTTTAGAGACCAAAGAATCTGCTGATTTCCTGTGTTTCAGCAGTGTAAATTCTCGAATAGTTTTGTTTCTGCTAAGCACTAGTGATTTCATCAGCAGTGATGACAGGTGTAAAAGCTGGAGTCAAACCCTTTGAACATTGTGCTTACTCCACTTCACATTAAATGGCTATTCAAGGACTCACAATGAAATCACAAAATCACACTTTTCCTATTAATATTTGTAAATGTAAAAGGCAAATTTTGTAAATATTTTAAATGTTCACATGTCTTCTTTTTAAGGGAGCATGTGGTTAGTTGGTGACATCAGGCATGTACCTTAACTGCTGACATACAAACATTAAAATTGCTAACCCACAAAACCTGTGGGAACCCTATCCCTTGATGAATCAATTATCTTTGCCCCCACAGACTGCTTTCTTAATTCCTGGTCTCAAGTAAAACTCGAATGTCCTCTGAGACTATTCCTTTCTCTGGTGCAGAGCAGAGAATAGGATCAGGATTCTCTCTCCAGCACAGCTGGAGAACCACTCCTCCTGCCCTCAGAGTTAAACGGGTCTCTTCTCAAGTCTCTGAACATCCTGTTGGGATCTCCAAACTTCTGATCAGCATCATCTACCAGCCTCTGGGATATAGCCTGCATCTTTTCTGAGGACTCTGGCACCTGCACAAATTCTTCCWCTCTATCCCAAAATCTGCCATCTTACTGGGTCTATGTGGACCACCTCTCCAATATTGTAATATTTTATCCTGGTTCCAACCTTCACCTCTCTGCTGCTTCACCATGCCTTCCTCTTACTTGCAAATAACCCTCAACTGTTCAACCTCTAAAGTTCTTAAACAGTCCACCCGCCTCAGCATCTAAACCCAAAACTAAAATATTGGGAATAAGATAAACGAGATCAGAGTTGGAATATTCAAAGTCACCTAAAAGAAATTGTTAGAAGTTTATGAGACTTGAAATTACACAAAATGTATTAACACATTTAAAGAAAAATGTCAAGGGAAATCCAGGCAACCCTCCTCATTACTTACCTATCAGATTTTCCAGTCTCCAGCCTAACCTGCTCTAATACACCTTCACACAGCTGCCAGAAATATCTTTTTAGTAAATAAATCTGAAAACCATTCTTTTTTTTCCCCTAAGATATTGCCCAAGCTGAACTTGAACTCTTGGGCTCAAGCAATCCTCCTGCTTCAGCCTCCCAAGCAGCAGGGACTATCAGTGCACCCTACAGTGCCCAGCTACTTTCCCCTCTTAATGACTCTTTTTTGAACTTAGCTCTGAAGTCCCTAGAATTAAAACCAGACTTTATATGCATTGGACCTGGACTTTATATGCATTCCTCAACCCAATCTTTTCCTCTGTCCCTGTTGTACCCTAGGTCTGGCTACGCGGAACCACTAGTCTTTTCTGATGTGTCCTGTATACAATTCTCTTTTGTGTGGAAGCCTTTGCTCCACCCTAAAGCTCATCTCACTAATGTGAGATCATTTTCTAAAGCTGAGCTCAAGTGCCATCTCTAAGCAAACTTTCCTGAATATCTGGGTAGTTCTGACCTTCATCTTTTACATCTGCAATGAGCCCTTGTAAGGAGCATCCGCCATAGACATGCTGACACATGCTAGGACTCACTAAATTGCTGGCCATAAGGAACAGCAGCCATTCAACTGCTTAGTCATGTCTGCTTGCAATTGATAAGGAGCTGTGAGGGGCACTAGCCATAGGTATGCTTAGCAATGACTGGTTACAATTGATAGGGAGCATAGCTCCACAGACATGCAAAAAGAACACGCCAGCTGCAATTACATCACCTCCCTGGTCATAACCAATGGACATTGATTTTCACTGGGTATAACCAATCACCAACGTACACCACCAACTTGGAACTATATTTAAATTGCTGGTCCTGCCACATTGAAGAGTTTTGCTCCAAGGAGATCGGTGATATTGGCCATCTTTCTTTCTGTCCCTGGACTACTCCACCACTCCCATATGTCCTGCCATCAGCTAGAGAGAACCACCAGACAAGGACAACATCTGCTATTTGGCTAAGAGAAGCCACGTGGCATTGGAGGTATTTTGGGACTCGTGGTTGCCCTATTATTGTGTGATTTGCTTATAGTGTTTAATTAGTGTGCACTGAACACTGGTTGGGGTGCTCCAGCACACCCAACACTTTTTGCATTGTTTATATTTAATGATTGGTGTGATCCAATATACACTTGCATTTAAATACAATCCGCCTCTGAGTAATTATTAATAGCACCACTTGCAACAGCCCTGCACTTTCTTCTATTGTGGCATCTTTGACACTTAATTGTACTTATGTTCAGKACCTTAAGGTACAAGAGGGCAGACACTTATTTTATAAATAGTTGTTCCTCCATTGCTAAGGACTTAGGCAAACTCTCAATGGAAATTTGAGTAAATTATCTTAAAAAAATCAGATTTTTAGCTTTATTTCCAATTTCATGTCCTTTTCTGCTATGTCCCCTTCACCAGTACATTTTTGTCATGCATTGCAACTCAACTTTTCTTTCTGGTTTGTACTTTTTCTTTTAATATTTTCTTTATAAATTCTTTGTTAATTTAATAGGCAGCTCCAATAACTTCTCTTGGCTTATCTCTCTCCTATTTCTTTCTTATTCAGAACTGAGAGGTCTGTTTCATTCATACACCATTTTCCCTCAACTATTTGTACCCTAATTATAACTTTTTGAAAACTAAAATGGGACACAATTTCCACACATACCCATATACATGAGCAACACCTGCCAAGCATAAATTTGTATCCTGTTTTGTACCTACACCTTTTCTTTATTTTATTTGGAGTGTTTGGAGATTCCGAACATGTTCTGGCCTGGAATGGGAAGGAAGCAGGTGTTACCGCTGTTGACCGGTCGGTGATGAGTCCTTGCTTCCCCAATGTTGAAGAATAACACCAAAGAAGCACTCGGAGGCAAGGTCAGAGTAGAAATTAGAAGTTTATTAAAGGACAGCAGAAAAGACTTCTTCCGGTGGAAGAAGGGGACCCAAGAGGTGGAATCCATAGAAGTGTGGTTGTCTCCCCTTTTTATAGTTTTGGTGATGGAATGTAGGTTGGAAGACCTGAGGGGTGGGACACAGGTGGGCCAAAGAAGTAATCTGGGCAGGAAGGACTTCATTAACATTTCTTTGTGATGGGCTATCTTCAAATTTGCTGGGGGCTGTTTCCTGGGCTCCATTAACATTTCTTCGAGGTGGACTGTTTTCCCAGAGTCATTCTCAGAGTGGCCTCCATTTTAGATTTCACTTGGTATTAGACCCGATTTACCTAACTACACTGACTACCTAACTTTAAATCTGGCTTCACAGGGACTGTGTGCTAAAGAATCATTAACATCTCTATCTTAGGGCTCTCAAGAAAGGGATTCAACTCAGAAATGAGATTTAGGGAAACCTGTTATTCAATATGTATTTCTAGACTATCTGGATAGTCATTTTGTAGACAATATAGAACCGGTTCTTGAACCCAGACTGCCTGGTCCAACACTAATTAGTTCTGCTATTTATTAGCTGTATGATTTCCTGCAAGTTACTTTACCTCTAGAGATGTGCCTCAGTTTCATTATCAGTAAAATTAGAGATAAGGATAGAATTTATCCCTCATTGTCAAGGACTAAGGAGTTAAAATACTTTGAAGGATACATGAATATAGTGACATGCAGAACTTTTATCCAGTCACTTTGTACTGATTTCCTTACAAAATACAGAATCAAAACTTGTATTATGCAATCGTATTTTTGCCCAAGTGTAATACAAGTTACAAATTTTCACTTTCCACATCCTGTCCACAAACAATAACTGTACTAATAACCAAATTTGAGAGTCATCTTCAGTCCCTTTCCTCTCTCTAAACCTGCCATTTTCTGTCTCCCAATCCATCCCAGTTTAGAATTACGCTGAGAAATAACGAACGAACAGAGACAGCTTCGTTTGTTTATTTATACTCCACAGAGTCTGTCTAGTTTAATTACTCGGTGACTATCTAGAGTAACCAGGAAGGAAGTTAGGGGAAGGCGGTGCCTGGACAGGGCAAACCCCGGACTAGAGGAAGGCATACGCAGCCCCGCCCAAGCAGGCCGCAGCTAGGAAGACCCGCTGCCACTGGGAGCCGATCCAGGAGGCCCCAGGTCCAGCAGGCAGCGGCCGGAAGTGCGTTCCTCCAGGGGGCGGGGCAAGGTGCGTTAAGGAGGAGCCAAGGGAGGGCGACCAATCGGAAGCGAATGCTCCTGCGGTCAAGACGGAAGAGAAGAGGTCTAGTTCCGGACGCGGCGGCAGCCGCCGCCATCTGTCACCCTAACTCCGGCACCAGCAGCAAGTCGCCGCCGCCCCGCTTGTCTCCTTAGCAGAGCCTGCTTCCCGTCCTGCTATCTCTTTCCWTAGCAGAGCCTGTTTCCCGTCCTGCCATCTCTTTCCTCGGCAAAACCTGCTTCCCACCCTGCCACCTCTCTGCTCTGTTCTTGCTGCTTTCTTCCCCCAATGGATCTGGTCGAAGTAGCATCACCTGAGCCCGGGAGGGCAGCGGCCTGGGGACCCAGCAAGGTGAGTGGTGGTCGTGCTGGCGTACCTGCCTTGGTCACCTGGGCTGGTTCTCGGAACGCTGGGAGAAGTCACTCAGGCAGTTAGAGGGGCGGGACCCCGACGACTTCGAGACGGGGGAACCGCAGTCGGGCTCCCGGGGTGCGGTAGTGGGAAGAGACAGCGGAGGGCGGCTAGGGCTCCCGCTGGTGGCCCTGGGTGGTCTGGGCTCTGTTTTTAGTTCCCTGCCTTGCCTTTGAGTCTCTGTAGCATATATTTGCGTGTAATTCCTTCACAGACTCTGACACTTGAGGGGAAACGAACACGATCTTGTTTTTCACAGGCCAAGTGAGTCAGCTCAATTCATAGAAAGCTAGACCGAAGGTTGCTTTGGGAAGCTTTTTCTTAATTTGATAAATGTGGTTATCCCAGTTCTGTGATTTCTTGTTTTGGAAGTGGTATGGAACGCGGGCAGACCCTCCCTCCTCCGATGCCGATATGGAAGTGTATACTACATACTGTAAAACAGTTGTGAATTTTCAGTGTTAACGTTTAAGTTTTTTTCTATAGAATAGCAAACTTATACCTTTATTTCACGTCTGTTTTCTGATTTTCAGGCTGCTCCTTTTGATGTTACATTCATTAGATGGGTGAAAAGATTTGTGCCGCATTATTGAGGATTGCTTGAGAGCAAAAGCAGTTACATTGGGATTTGTGTTCCTCAAATTAAGGTTGTGAAGAAATCCAGCAGTTTTAACTATATAATTGTCCTTTGCATGCGAACACAGAACATTTGTTTCATTCAAAAGATTACCTGTTAATCTTATTGGACCTTTAGACTTGGTCTTAACTTATGTTAAGAGGTAAATAATTATGTTAAGGAGGTAAATAATTAGTTCTTAAGAAAAGTTGATTTTATAAAAGTTTTTTTTTTCTTTCTTGGTGATACTGGGAATCGAACCTGGTTGTGCTTTACCACTGAGCTACATCCCCAGCCCTATTTATTTTGAGAGGTCTTGCTAAGCTGGGCAGGCTGACCTTAAATTTGCCACCCTCTAGCATATGCCTCTTTTGAGTTGTGGGGTTACAAGCCAAGCCACCATGCCTGGTTTTAAAAATTCGTATACAACTTTAGGAGAAATCTAAGACATTACATTGGTAAATGKGATTAGTGGACATAAAAAAAATCAATAGACAGACTAATAAATATATATACTCTGTTAAATTCCTGCAGGTAAACATCCACAAAGCCTGGTGAAAATGTCAAATGAGACAAACTGTTCATAATAGATCCTAACCTCAGAACCAATTTTACTGAACTGATTAAGAAAATATTTTATGTCATATTGTCATTTCAATGTACATAATCAAAACCGAAAAATTCCATTTTCATCATTTAACAAGAAATACGCTCCTAGGGTTTATTGATGTTCTATTGGAAAGACAGGGCTTTAATAAACAAAACTATTTAAAAAGGCTAAAAGTATCACTTAACCCTTTTCTTCTCTAAACTTGTAGAAAACTAGAGTGAATGGAGGAAGCAGGTAGACATTTGAGGAAGACCTTGAAAAATGGAAGGAAGATTTAAGACTAATAATTCTCAAGGCTTTTTGGTTAGGACCTTTTAATACTCTTGAAGCCAGGTGTGGCAGTACACCCTTGTAATCCCAGGTGAGACTTAGGTGAGAGGATTGCAAATTTAAAACCAGTCTGGGCCCTAGCTCTAGCTGCATCAAAATAACAAGGGCTAGAGATGTAGAGGAGTGGTAGAGCACTTACCTAACATGTTCAAAGCCCTGGATTCCATCCCCAGTACCATTTAAAAAAAAAAAAAAAAAAAATCATTGAAGACCAAAAAAAAAACCAAAAAACTATTGTTTATATTAGTTATATCTATTGACATTTATCATGGCTGAAATTAAAACTGAGAAATAAACTGTTATTTAAAAGTCACCTTAACATAAATAACATTTTCTTAAAGGAGAGAGAGAGAATTTTTTTTAATATTTATTTTTTAGTTTTCGGTGGACACACATCTTTATTTTATTTTTATGTGGTGCTGAGGATCGAACCTAGTGCCTCACCCATGCAAGGCAAGCGCTCTACCACTGAGCCACAATCCCAGCCCATAAATCACATTTTTATATTTAAAAAGCCTTCAAGGGGAGGGGGAATAGGGGGCAGGAAAGATGGTGGAATGAGGTGAACATCATTACTCTAGGTACATGTATGACTGCACATGTGGTATGACTCCACATCTTGTACAACTAGAGAAATGAAAAGTTGTGCACAATTTGTGTACAATGAATTGAAATGCATTCTGCTATCATGTATAACTAATTAGAACAAATTTTTTAAAAGCCTTCAAAAGAAAATTAGTGAAGAGAATATTATTGTTTTATATTTTTTAAACTCTAACATTTCACTCAGTAGAAGATAGCTGGATTCTCATCTCTTTTTTTTTTCTTTTTTCCTTTCAATCTGTTGTAATATGTTTGAAGTATAGGAAAAAAATCCATCTTTGCAGAATAGGAGTACAATAGAAATTGAGTTAAATCTCTAAATATGCACATTTATGTCCTAAACTTGCTGCCTTAGAAAATTTTAGAAAATGCTAGAATACACAAGCACACATTCCATTAACCATCAGTGATGATGCCATCACATATGATATATGATATGGACTTGTGAAAACTCTACAGGTAAAAGAATAAGCTTCAAAGAGAATGTCTTAATACTATTTTGGAATTTTTGACTCTGCAGATTCTCTGAATGAGCTCTGGGGGCTCCTTCACCAGAGTCCTGTGGTGGTGCTTATAAAATGCCAAGCTGCTGTTATGGACAAAGAATTATAGGAGACATTCCGAGAAGGAAAGATTGGTAAACTAGAGGYGAAAGTGAAGAAATATGTAGCTCTGTTGGAAAGAGAGCTGTGAAAAATGTGTTAGTGGTATTTTTTCAGAACTGTCCAGGTCATGAAAATGAGAAGATTCTTAACACTCACTACCAAGAGGAGCCTAAGGAGACATGGCAACTAAATGTAATGTGCTGTCCCAGGTGGGATTCTGAAGTAGAAAAAGGTCAACAGGGAAAGACCAAGGAAATCTGAGTAAAGTTTGGATTTTAGTTAATGTATAAATATTGGTTCATTAATTATGACAAATGCATGAAACTAACATAAGATAGTAGGGGAAACTGGATATGGAGTGTTTGGGTACTCAACTATCTTTGCTAGTTTTCTACAAATTGAAAACTAGTATAAAATGTTCATTTAAAAAATGGATAGTGGTGGTGTGTAGATCAGATCTCTTGTTCCCGAAACCTTTGTCTTGAGATGTAAAATTACTTTAATATTCTTCTGGTTTAGTTTAATCTTCTGGCTGTTTGGTTAGAAAAGGGATCTTCTTCCAGGTTGTGTGTTTTTTGTTTACTTCAAGTAAGAGGACTAAATTTTTGCATTGTGCCTTCTTTGTGTTTGCCATTTTTTACTTTCCTTGATTCTTTCTCCATAGTTGTCTTTAGTAAAAAACCTTTTTAGAAAGTGGGACAGGCAGCAGGGGATGCATCCTTAGGAGCTGGAAGGAAAGGGGGATAATTTCTATCTAATCTATAGCCAGCCAGGGGTGGGAGAATGTGATGGTGGAGTAGAACACTGAGGAACAGGGGTCAGTGGCAGTTTCCCAGAGGAGAGGAAGACAGGATTGGTTAGGGTTCTTTAGCAATGGGGAAAAAACTCGTGCAGCTGATTATGGGCTTTGAAAGCCCTTAGAAACTGTGTGGGATTTTTCATCAAATCTTGGTGTTTTGGGGATCTCTTGTTGATGAACAGAATAGTAGGAAATGACTTTGGATAGCAAGGTTAGAGCAAGATTGTGAGTTTTCCCTCATTGCCTTGGGTTTATTGCTATTACAATTTTAACATTTAATAGTGATTTACTGAAGAGTCACACCTGCAGAGAATTCTCCAATATATTATCATCCGGTGCCTGTTGGTAAGAGAAGATTCCAGTAAATTTTTCAAAGTCCCCTTAATGAGATGAGCACAGGCCCAAGGAATTACTCCCTGCTCCAAAGCTGTCCCTCACAGTGTGTGGAAAATTTTTGTGGAGGGCTTTTGATGACTGGTTGAAGAGTTTGATTTGATTTCAAAGTGTGGAGTTGGCAGCCTTTCTGAAATCTTTACTTATTTACCTCACCCCAGGAAGTTGCTTCAGAGTGAGGTGGCCCAGCCAAGTTGGTCAGCAGAGGTACGGGAAGTGTAACTCTAGAGTGTGAGGCTCCGAGGAGCAAAGTCAGTAGAAGGGGGACCATTAGGGTGTCCAGGTGCTATATRTTATCTCTACATGTTTCTCTTTCTGATCCAGACTCTTAGGAGTAGGGAATCTTTGCCTCAAAGTGACCAAAGTGCTGCCCATCATTTTTGCCTCCTCTGAGAAATTCTCAACTAATGTTTTAATATCTTTACAGAATTAGTTCACATATGACAAAAGACTGGAAGCCTTAGAAGTGGGTGGGCAAGGGTGGAGGAAAGGACTTCAGAACAGTAGGAATGTCAAAAGGTACCAGACCTTTGCAGCTTATGAACAGCTTGGCAGTTCCATTAACTGAGTACTGTTTTCTCGCAGCACATTATTCAGTTAGTACTTGAATGCTTCTTTATGTCCAAAACTCTATGCTGAGCTCTGGAGATGAGAAGACTCCACCCTGTAAGGAGCCTGTGCTCCATCATGGCTGATATATGAACCCTGATTAGCAGTGGGTCATGAAATAGAAGTGTTTGCATAGTGTGTGTGGGTACACAAAAGCAAGAGTCCAACTTTGTCTGGTGATGGAGATAGTCTTAAAAGAAGAGGTAACATTTAATTGATGTAAACAGAGGAGAAAAACTATTGAGAGGAAAGAATGAGTGAAGGCTTGGAGGGGTGAAATATGCCATATTTGGTATATAATTGTTAGGATCTATGAGTGTTGGGTATGGAAAAGTAAGTGAGGGCAAGTTGTGAAGGGCATTCCTTGCTGAGGAATGTGGATTTTATACTAGAGACAATAAGTGAGTTTGCTTCTCACATTCCTGGGAAGGCAAGTAGGGAAGCAGCAGTAAAACACAAAGAAATGTAGCCTCTTGAGTCCTGCAATCTTGGCTCAGGTCTCATCAGCACTTCCACCTACAGTCTTATSTTGAGTTAGAAAGCCTGTCTTTATCTTTTTTTCCAAACCTTTAAAATGGGAATGATATTGCAACTACTCGGTTATGGTGTGATTTAAATAATCTGTATGTTATATGTATTTAGCTAAGCTGCTTAAATACAGGGAATATTGAAATGCTCTCCGATATGCTACTATTATTTATTGTCAAATGTGCATGAGAATTCTGAGTTATCAGCCTTCGGAACCTGGACTTTGAACCAAAACTAATTGGTTTTGGTTCAAGTATTTCCAGGTTAAAGAGCAGAAAGAAACCAGCAGAATCATGTAACCAAAAGATTAGCTATGTTCTGTAAATTACTTCAAGTTGCCAGACCACAAAAGACTTATCAGGAGTGTACTCAATGACAGATAAACCTGAGTCACACCAGAACTTGAGGAAGCCTCCCTGTTCTCCCTAGGTCTGGCCTTATACATAAGTCTGGATCATTTCTTCRATGGCTAATGTAGGTATGTGCTAGGGAACAGGTGTACCTCCTGAATCTCCGTGTGAGACGAAATGAAATTTGATTCTGATTCACTCAGGCATAAATATAGTTATCATTGTTTATCACCCCTAAGTACTCCACCCAAACAGCTGAGCTAAGTCAGTTCCTGAACCAAAGTGCTATGAGGCCTGTACAAGGGTCAGTTGTCCAGTTGTCTCTCAGAGCCATGCCAGAAGGCCCTTAGACTAGATAGAGAGCCTGTGCTGACTAATCTTGTTTAATTAAATTTGGAGCTAATACAGATATCCTTGTATGATAAATACCATATTAGACACTTAGTAAAGAAATGAGTTTGAACTTTATCCCAAAGGCAGTGGGAAACAATAAAAAGAGATCTAGATGAGGAATCAGTCAAATCTGAATTTTTTACTTTTGTTGGTATGAAGAATGTAAGCAAGCAAGATAGCAAAAAGGTTAGTTAGGAAAATAGTGAAATAAATTTAGAATTTGTGTTTCAACAAGGCTGAGACAGCTGGATACGGTGGTACATACCTGTGGTACACACCTGTAGTCYCGGCAGCTTGGGAAGCTGAGACAGGAAGATCGCAAATTCAAAGCCAGCCTCAGCAAAAGCCAGGTGCTAAGCAACTCAGTGAGACCCTGTCTCTAAATAAAATACAAGAAAGGTTTAGGGATGTGGCTCAGTGGTTAAGTGCCCCTGACTTCAAACTCCAGGACCAAAAAAAAAAAAAGGTTGAGACACAGATGTCATTGAGGAAGGCCAACTGGCCAGTTGCTCAAGAAGAGTCTCAGAATATTATTTTGATTGTAATTATATTATTTCAAGAGTCTGTCTCTCAAATTCTGAGGTTCAAAAATATAATTTTTGTGGTTCTTGTTTTATTTTAGAAAGTCTTGAGATGGGGCAGACACACTTTATACTTAGCTAAGATTTAATACTTAAATTATAATTAAGTATAATTTCTAAGTGGGTTTTAAGTTGTGCTAGTTGGTATTGTCTATTTCTATGAGAGAATCTACTTGGAAAACCAAATCATAAGCCAAAGGTTGCTCAGTAAGCAAGGAATTGGAACCAGGGGAGGAACTTGAACTCTGGTTGTTGGGATGATACCATAATAGCCTGGTGCCTCCCTCAACTATGAGAATAGGCCAGRAAGTACTTCAGGCTGTTTTAGTATATATATATATATATATATCTCCTTGTTTAAATTGAGCTAGGTGATATTTTTACTTCTAAGATAATTTCTTCAATAACTAGTCTTGCATTTTGTGTTCATTTAACCAGTTTAATTTTCAAAAGGGACCCTTATTTTATTTCTAAGTTAATTATGAATTTTTTTTTTTTTAATAGTGTCCATGGGCTACCCCTCAAAACACAATATCCTGTTCTTTGGCTGATGTAATGAGTGAACAGTTGGCTAAAGAATTACAATTAGAAGAAGAAGCTGCTGCTTTTCCTGAGGTTTCGTAAGTAAAATTCACAAAATATCTATTTTATTTGGTAGCTTGCTATAACAAAGTTTAGGGATTTGATTAATGATTGTCATAACAAGCAATTAAATACATTTAGAAAAGCAGTGCAGTAGAAAGAGCACAATATTGGGAATGTACTGATATTTAAATTTTGGTCCTGATTATGTGACTGGTTTTCTGTACAGGCTCAACAACCCAAAAAGCTTTGGGTGCTCAAAAGACACTCAGAAAGTTTCAGTTTTTGGAGTATATCAAATATGAATTTTCATATTAGGGATGTTAACTGATAAATCCTATGCAAATATTCCAAAAAAGGAAAAATTCCAAAATCTGAAAACCTCTGTTCTCAAGCATTTGGTATAAAAGATATTCGGCTTATATGATCTTGTATAAACCACTCTTTCTCTTGAGTTTTGTTATTTCTTATTAAATGTAACAGCTGAACTAGGTGAGGTGTAGTTCTGAAGTGTTTATASTTTTATCTTTTTATAAATTTTTATCCTTTAACTAGAACACAGAAAAAATGCATTCTGGGTTTCAGTTTGAATTTTCTAATAGACCCAATAGCATTCTCTTCTGGCTCTTTTAATCCTGGCTGGTGTTCTCATAGGTATAGGCCATTGGTCTTGAGGCTGCCTGGGCAGGAGAAGGTGAAGAGAAGGTTTGGTTGAGTTCTGCCCATTGTTAAATACAATTCTAACCCTAAAAAGGCATATCCTACTGTCATAATCAACAGGCCCTGATTGCACCAGCACATTATATTAGTTTATATCACTTTATTTTGAATAGTGTTGCTGAAGGACCATTTATTTCTGGAGAAAACACTGATACTTCCAGYGACCTAATGCTGGCTCAGATGCTACAGATGGAATTTGACAGAGAATATGATGCACAGCTTAGGCGTGAAGAAAAAAAATTCAATGGCGATAGCAAAGGTATTATTACCTTATTGTGACAACTCCATTGAGTGATAGAAAATGCTTATACTGTTCTCCTAAATAAATCTTCAACTATTTTTTCCTTTTAAGTTTCCATTTCCTTTGAAAATTATCGAAAAGTGCATCCTTTTGAAGACAGCGATAGTTCTGAAGATGAGGTTGACTGGCAGGACACTCGCGATGATCCTTACATACCAGGTATCAAAGCTGTTAGTTTTGGGGGGATAAAATAGAATAGTATAGAAAACTTAATTTTTCCAATGAATTATTTTGGAATCTCATTTAATTTACTCCATTAGATTCAAATGTTTTCAGGCAGTGTTGAATGTAGTAATTTAGTTTCTTCTATTTTCATATATTTGGCTTATCTTAATTGCCTTTAGCAAAACCAGTTCCTACTCCCAAAAAGGGTTTTATTGGAAAAGGAAAAGATATCACCACCAAACATGATGAAGTGGTATGTGGCAGAAAGAATACAGCAAGAATGGAAAATGTAAGTTACAGAGAATACCCATCTCTGAATCAAGAGTTTTGTTTGAATGTTTTGAAAACAGGATTCTATGCAGAATATCTTAAATTTCTAAAAATCCGTCTTTCTGAAGACATTAGCTGTTTAGATGGCAATGTAGCAATATGATGCAAACTCAACCACTTGAGTATATACAGTATCTCATAATAAAACCCTATATTATTTAAAAAATTAAAATGACTTAACATTGATCCTAAAATTAAGAAATTGTTCTTATATAACATTCATTTTTCATATTATTTTTTTTATAAATAGCATCCCTACCCAATAAATACATAACAGTGATAACTGAGCTAGGAATGAGAGGGAGAAATACTTTTGGGTTTTTTTTCCCTTCCAGTACTGGGGATTGAACTCATGCTATTAGGCAAGCCCCCTCCTTTCCTAATTTTTTATTTTGTGCCTGAACTACCCTTGCAAAATCAGAAATAAAATGTAATTTTTAAAAGATAACATTTTAACTTCCATAAATATTATGATTAATAGAAAATAGACCTTAGAACACAAATGCTTGTTAAGTAAATATTTTATTAACTATATAATTTCTAGAAATAATTCATATCTGGTTTAAGAACACTGCCATCCATTAACACTTTTTGTGTTAATGACAGTGCTCTGTATCTGTGCTTTCCAGTATGTTAGCCACCATGAAGCAACTAAGGAACTGAATTTTAAGTTCAGTTTAATTAGCTCAAATTTAAATATCCAGATGTGGCAAGTGGCTATCTAATTGTGCTATGCAGCTCTACAATGCAATTGTCATAGATGGGATGGGCATAAGTTGCTATGCTAACTCAGTTCTCATAAATAATTATGATATTGATTTCTTTGGTAAGCCTTCACAATACAGTACTGTGTACTTTGGCTGATATTAAAACGAGGTTCAAAGCATATACTGAAAGACCTTAATTTTAGGTATAATTGGGCGTTTTCTGTGTATGGAATAAGTACCTTCCTTTGGACTGTAATTTCTTTAATAGCATTTCTCCTGTTTGTATTAGTGACTTATTTTTCAGTGTAGTACCTATGGGTTTGTTTGTTGTTGTTTTTTTTTTAGTTGTAATTGGACACAATTTCTTCCTTCCTCCTTTCCATCCTTTCTGCCTTTTTTCCCTTTCTTTCTGCTGAGAATCTACCACTGAGCTACAGCCCCAGCCCTGCGTTTTGTTTTTATAGCATGATTATCTATTGAGTAGGAATTCTGTTCCAAGTAAAGACTTCTCACTGTTTTTGTTTTGTTTTTCTGTTCCCATCTAAAAATATTTAGATGCTAATTCTTCTATTTTTGTTAGTTTGCACCTGGATTTCAGGTAGGAGATGGAATTGGAATGGATTTAAAACTGTCAAACCATGTTTTCAATGCTTTAAAACAACATGCCTACTCAGAAGAACGTCGAAGTGCCCGCCTCCATGAGAAGAAGGAACATTCTACTGCAGTAAGGATCTTAGATTTTTTTTTTCCTTTAACATATTCATATTAGAAAACTTGATGTGTGGGAGGGAAAACAAAATAAAATTTTATGTTTGATATTTTTCCACAGGATTGGTTTTTCGAATCAAAGATGTAAATATAGTCTAAATGACTTTGCCATTTCACTTTGCAGATTTAACATAATGGTTACTAATTACTTATTCAAAACGTACATTTTAGTGGTCATAATTAATTTGGACTGTATAATTTACATTGCATCTGAATGTTCCAGGATTTTTTAAAAAATTATTTCTCTATTGATATATTTGTGACCTATTAGTCTCTAATGAATTCTTGATAATGCCTACCATCTTGATAATAAACTAATTTTGTTAAATATTTAGAAAAATAGTAGGAATGTTAGAGCTTTTTAAACTGGTGATAAAATAAGATTTTGATTTAGTATCTGTTTTTTTTTTTTTTTTAATCTTCACTTTTTTAGATTAAGGACAGATTATGAAAATCACAGCCAAATTTCTTGAAAAAGACCCTGGAGGCAGGAGGACTACATAGGGTGGGCCAGGCAAGGTCCTATGTGTTTGGTCCTGGCTCTGGGCTAGAAGGAAGGAGGCACTGTCTCATGGTTTCCAAAAGCGTCTCTGTGTTGCMTAGGTTCTACACAGAAGAGCAAATGGGGCCAAGGATACCTGGTTGGGGGCCTAGTTTGGTGGAAAGTGTGTCTAAAGCTGGAAGGGGAAGTCAAAAGCCAGGGGTTTTGGAARGAGAGGGACTCTACCTCTACCTTATGGAGAGAGATGGTGTCTGTACATTACATGCCTGTTAGGTACCCCTTGCTATCTTGTCTATTGCTTCTCACTCCAGGGTTGTCTACTATATATTTGGATCTAACCCTAACCATAATCCTGGGAGTAGGGGAAGGAAAACATACTTATTGCTGTAATGGGGAAGGGGTGGCAGGTGGTAGAATAGTGCTGGTGCTTCCCATGTTTCAATTTGCTCTTTCAAAGAGCATCTTTGTCTCTCTTGGGGGACAAAGAGAGAGGGCACCAGTGGACAGAGAGTCCTGAGCGTCAGTTTGGCACCAGACATTACCAGAGCCAGGGCCATGTAGAACCCATGATTGTCTCTCTACCTGTCCATTTCAGTGCCCTACCTGGGAGGAGGAAGCAGAAGGGGCAGGCACAAATAACATGGTGTAGACTTCATGAGTAGGCTTCCCTTAGAGAGGCCAAAAGTGTGCTCCTTTCCAGCTTTGTCCCATCTCTTCCCACTAAGTGGGAAGAAAGAACTAAGATGCCAGAACTAAGATGCTGTGAGGAGGAAGGTGATGCCCACTGTCAGGGCAAGTGTTCCTGCTTGGGGCTGGTTCTGCTGATGCTTTTGAGCTTGAGCACATGGGAGTTACCTCCCTCAGAGTCTTTACATTGGGGCCCATAGCAAACCAGAGGAGAGTGGAGACCAGCTTCTTCCCAGAGTGTGGAGGTGCAGAAAAAACTTTTGTTTTTTCTTTTTTCTTTTTCTTTTTCTTTTTTTTAAGTAGATGAACACAATACTTTTGTTTATTTTTATGTGGTGCTGAGATGGAACTCTTAATCTTTAGATAGTTCTAGTGCAGATTGTGGGTGGGTGTGGCTGGAGGGGAGATGGGGCCTAAGTTGATTTTGCTCACTTCTGCCCTTTGTCCTCCACTTAGAAACTCCTCTCAAAACTCCTTCCAAACTGCCCATGTTGGGCAATCTCCTTTCAGAAGCTCTCTTTCCCTTGGGACATTGGCAATTGCAGCTCTGCTGTCAGCCCTTTGAGTCCAGCCTTCAAGAAACCCTGCCCCTGAGGATGTCCCTTACAGAAACAGTGACTGTGCAGCACAAACTTGGGACTTTCACTAAACCCATATTAGCCTCATGGTCCTATCTGAACTCGGACCTTGAGATCTCAGGCCCCATGCCTCATCTTAGCTATGACTCCCCTTAGCATCTGACTTGGAATGGTTCTTTTAGCTATTCACTCTGAGATTCTAGAGTTATATGAAATGTATCTTGATGGCACTCTTTTAAGATATACATCTAAGTAAATTAAATAATAAAGTTTTAAGAAGTATGTATTTTGAATGTTAGATCTTAGAAATGGCTCAGAAAATGATTTTTTATTTGTTCTGTTCAGATGTACGTGACAGTAGAGTGTATTTTGACATATGTTCATGGAGTATAACTTAGGATCCTGTTCTTGSGGTCGTGCATGATGTGGAGTTTCACTAGTTGTGTGTTCATATGTGAACATGGGAAAGTTGTGTTTTATTCATTCTACTGTCTTTCCTATTCCCATTCCCCTCCCTTCCCTTTATTCCCCTTTGTTTGATCCAGTGAACTTCTATTCTGCGCTTCCCCCACCATGTGTGTTAGCATTCACGTGTCAAAGAGAACATTCAGCCTTTGGGTTTGGGAACTGGCTTATTTCACTTAGCATGATAGACTCCAGTTCCATCCATTTACCCACAAATACCATAATTTCACTCTTTTTGGGTGAGTAATATTCCATTGTGTATACATACCACATTTTGTTTATCCATTCATTTGTTGAAGGGCAACTAGGTTGGTTCCATAACTTGGTTATTGTGAATTGGGCTGCTATAAACATTGATGTGGTTGCATCACTATAGTACGCTGATTTTAAGTCCTTTGAGTACAAATCGAGGAGTGGGATAATTGGGTCAAATGGTGGTTCCACTCCAAATTTTTTGAGGACTCTYTATACTGCTTTTCAGAGTGGTTGCACCAATTCACTCATAYAGCAATGTATGAGTGAACCTTTTTCCCCAAATCCTCACCAACATTTATTGTTACTTATATTCTAGATAATTGCCATCAGAAAATATTTTATAATAAGTCATTTTTCTTACAGTATTTTATCTTTTGCAGGAAAAAGCAGTTGATCCTAAGACACGTTTACTTATGTATAAAATGGTCAACTCTGGAATGTTGGAGACAATCACTGGCTGTATTAGTACAGGAAAGGAATCTGTTGTCTTTCATGCATATGGAGGGAGGTAAATGAACAAAATATGAAATCCTTTCTCCCCAGGATTAACAGACTTATACAAAGTCAGAGTTAACATTGCATGGCAAGTAAAATTATTTAAAAAGTATTATAGAAAATCTAGATGATATAAAAGGTATTCATTTTGTATTTAAGAGTTTTTAAATGACTTGGTCAAGTTCTTGTCTTTAGTTTTCTTAACTATTTAATTAACTAATCTCCCTTTCTAGATAACACATATACATGATAATATATTGAATTATACTATTAAGTTCTAAAAATGAAGAGGATAAAAGTGAATATTGAGGCTGGGAGTGCAACTCAATGAAGTCCCTGGGTTTGATCTCTGGCACCAAAAAAGAAAGAAAGAAAGAAAGAAAAAAAAGAAAAGAGGGGCTGGGGGTGTGGCTCAAGCGGTAGCTTGCTCGCCTGGCATGCGTGCGGCCTGGGTTCGATCCCCAGCACCACATACAAACAAAGATGTTGTGTCCACCGAAAAATAAATAAATATATTAAAAAAAAGAAAGAAAAGAAAAAAAGAAAAGAGTTTAACATTGGAGCTTACAATTTCAAGTTATGTGATCTGGAACAAGTTCCTAAACCTCATTAAAAAAATTATATCTCACCTCATGGGATTTTTGTCAGGCTAAATGAGATCATGTTTGATAATATTGATATTAATTTTAGTCAGCATATATGTCCTCCTTTAAAGTTTGTCTCCCTCTTTATAAATTTCAACTGAGGATTTCCTGAGTCCAGGCAATATAAATAAATAATACAGATTATTTAAAAATGAAAGATTACTTATGGTGGTGGATTAAAACTTGTAGAAAGGATTAAAATGAAAAGTAGTCTTTATCTTTCTTACCCTTGCCCAATAACTGTTTCTCCAAAAGAAACCACTAGTAACAGTTTTAAGTCTATAATTTTACAGAAATTTGTATGCGTTTGTCCTTTACTTTGCATATGCAAAAAGATCATACTCTATATTCATGATCTTTTTTTAGCTAATATRTATTGGACCTTTCTATATTACTAGCCTGTACCACCCTATTTTTAAGAGTGCATTCCATTACATATAAGAATATCCTTATACGTTAGTGTATCTTTGCAAATATGTCCTTAGACTAGATTACTAATAATGAAATTGCTGGTGCAAAGACTATGAATTTTTTCTTTTTCTTTTTTGGTTAAGCAGTGGAAGGCCTCACAAAATGAGGAGTATATGAATTTGTTCACTGTTTTGGCCCCTAGTTGGCTATTGTAGCAGTGGTGTTTCTTGACTTTTCTATATTAAAAAGTTAACAATTACAAAATTTTTTTTCTTGTGTACCATATCAGTGGTCAAAATCTTGAATTTGTGTTTTAATGGTAAGGCAAATTCAGTTTTCCCCATGAGCTAGCCAGATGTGCAGGTTGTGTACATTCTGAATGTCAGGAGATATTGCTAGATTGCCTTGTGAGAAGCTTGACTATTTTGCTCCTGGCAGCATGAGCCTATTTCCCTTGTCCTCATTGATGTTTAGTATTATCAACATTCATATTTTTTGTCAGTGTGAACAATGAAAAGTAACATCTTGATAGTTTGTATATTTATTTGTGATTAATATTGTACATTTTCTTAAGGTGCCTCATTGGACATTTGTTTGTTTTTTGGGGGGGAGTTGTCAATAGCTTCCTTTATCCTCTGATCATTTTCTACTATATTTAATGATACTTTGATATAATGAATATTTACTTTCCTTCTGGTAGTATTGGTATCATAATCTGTGTTTCTGCATTTAAGTTAGCTAGAAAGCATCTGGTTTTGTACAACTGAAAAATGTTTTCAAAAACATATATAATGTGCTATATGTAATGAATTGCCATAAATTTTGCAACTCAAAACAATACCCTTCCAGCAGTTCAGGAGGCTGAGGCAGGAAGATGGTGAGTTCAAGGCCAGCTTCGGCAACTTAGTGAACCTCTGAGTAACTTAGTGAGACCATATATTAAAATAAAAAGGGCTGTATATTTGGCTCAGTGGTAAACCCTCCCTGGATTGTGGTACCCAACAATAACAGCACCCATCTTGTCATAGTTCCTGCTTACAGGAAGTTCAGGCCTGGCTTATTCGGTTCTATGCTCAATTGGGTTCTCTGCTTACAGTCTCACAAGGCAATCTTAAGTGTTGGCCTGGCCATGTTGCTTTCTGAAACTTGGAGTCCTCTTCCCTTGGCACCTTTTACTAGCAGTTAAAATGAGCAATGGTGGTGATTTGGACTTGGGTTGTAGTGAAAAGTGAAGATATAGGAGTTCCTACTCTTGTTGGCTATCAACTGGGCTGGCTTGCTCTTAACTCTTGGCTTTGTAGATCCTCACCATGTGACCCCCTCTCAGGCCCTCATAGTTCATGTAAAAACCAGCAGGAGAATCTCTTCCTTCATTCTGCTAAGATTTTGTCTAAATGTCACCTTTGCTATATAATGTAACCTAGTCTAGGGAGTAGCTGTTCAATTCCCTCAAGGACAGGGAGTTATTATATAAGGGGTGCAAAACTCATGGGGATCAGCTTAAAATTCTTCCTTCTACAAAGCTCTTCTAGTTTCTGACATTTTCCAGATGGCCAAGCCATTGACAATGTTTTTTTTTTTTTTTTTTTTTTTTGTTATTTATGGTTTTGGTGCTAAAGATTTAACCCAAGGAGGCCTGGCACATGTTAAGCACATACTCTACCCCTGAGTTACAGCTTCAGTCCTGTAGTTAACAATTGCTCACATAGTAAGTTGTGTTATACTTTTCAGGGAGTAAAGTATAAAACATATTCTCTACAGTCTCAAAGAATTTATGCCAAGGAGAGAGAACATTATAGCAGGAATGTTTATGGTCAATAAAAGGTAATTAAATAACAGAATGCCCAGTTATACAAGTGAGACCTCACTGCAGCTAACAGAACAAGATCATTGCCAGGTAGAKTCAGGAAAGGCATTGCAATAAAGTTAGATCTCAACCACATTTTAAAAATAGGCAAAACAAAACCAATGTTGAGTACAAAAAGCTATTTGTAGAATATATATAGTATACCATCTATAGATRTTTATTCAAGTGGACATTTATATACTTTTAAAGTTAGATAAGGATTGTGGTTCAGACAATAAGATTAGAAGGTACATGTGTGGAGGTACCAGGCTTATAGTAGGGTAGGGAGGGGGAGCATGGGAGGAATAGATGAATTCTAGATAGGGCAGAGGGGTGGGAGGGAAAGGGAGGGGGCAGAGGATTAGCAAGGATATCCAAAGTACATGTATGAAGACATGAATTGGTGTCTTCAACCAGAGATATGAAAAATTGTGCTGTATACATGTAATAAGAATTGTAATGCATTCTGCTGTCATTTATTTTTTTWAAAAAATCAATTAAAAAAAAAAGTTAGGCAGAGGAAGCTGGTGTTGTGGCACATGCCTAAAATACCAACCGCTTGGAATGCTATGCAGCAGGATTACTTGAGCCCAGAAGTTTGGAGCCAGTCTGGGTAACATAGCTAGACCCTATCTATTGTAAAAAAAAAAAAAAAAGGGGTGGGGGGGAATGTATAATTTGCTAAGAAATAAGGAAGTGTTGGGTTTATTTTTATTTTTTAACTAAGAGAATGATAAGATAAATCATATATTTAGACTCTTCTACAAATCTTCTAAAATAAATCTCTGGGTTGTTTGTTTGTTTGTTTGTTTGTTTTGGTGCTGGGGTTAAACCTAGGGCCTTGTGCATGCAAGACAGGCACTCTACCAACTGAGTTATAACCCCTTCCCCCTTCTCTGGTATTTTTGATAGGGCCTTATGTACTATATGGTTAAATTATTCTAATGACAAAGAGTTTGTTTATCACCTCAAAATCTAGCCTTTTCTGTCTGTGATATCTTTAGATTCTTTGTATGTCCTTAATCTCTCTCCCTGAAAGTCAGTCCATCCATTCACCAATAGTTGAGCAGCTACCGTGTGCCAGGTCCTCTTCTAAGTTCTGAGGGTACAGCAATGAATGGTACAAGGAGGGTCCCTGCAGAGTGTTCTTCTTCCAAGACGATATTAAATAAAAATTTTCAGTTATGTGCGATGTCATAGTGACTGTTATAGTGATTCATTGACTGAATTTTATTAGTAGAATAAGAAAGTCTTCTTTGAGAAGTGACACTTGAATGACACATCTAGGCTACCTCAAAGGTCAGGTTGAAGGACAATCTAGACTAGAGAACAGCTAGTGCTTAATGCTTTCAGACAGGTACAAGCTTAGGGTTTTTGAGATAAAGTCCGAAAGCCAGAATGGCTGGAGCACAGTATATGCAGAGGAGAGAKGAGGCTGGAGAATTTGGCAGGGTTTGGTGTAGGCAGAATTGTGAACCAGGGCAATAATCTGCTGTTCATTTAACTGCAGTGGGAACCAAAACTGATTTTATTTTCGAAAGATGACTCAGGCTACTATGAGGAAAGAGCATTATAGTAAAAAGTAATTGAAGCAGTTGAAATGAGCAATGGTGGTGGTTGGACTCTGGGTAATAGTGAAAGTGAAGATACAGGAGACAATTGTTGGTATGTGTTTTGGACACGGGAGGTCTTTTGGCTGGAACATCTAATTGTGTACTATTTACTGAGGCAAGACCCTAAGGAAGTATAAGTTAAGGTAGCAATCATCAAGAGTTTTGTTTTGGACATGTAAAGTTGAGGATGCTTGCTAGACATCCAACCAAATGTTGTCAAATTGGCATTGGATAAATGAACCTGAAGTTCTAGAGGAACTGAGGACTGGGATGGAAATGTGGGTTTTATACATACAGAAATGATATTTAAAGCTATGGGCTATATACAATTGCCCAGAAGGAGAAGTGGGGTTTTTTAGAATCATTTGGGGATGCTGACCTTTTAAGGCTAAGTGGAGGAGGACAAGGAATCAACCAGGAGAATAAGGTACAGATGAAGGTTGGTAGTTTGATTCAGATTGTTCTCTGGAAATACATTCCTTTCACTTCAGATTAATATCCCTTCAGATATTTAAAGGTAAAAACTGCTCTTGTTTCATCCACCTCTTATCCCCACTGCCACCACCATGACTTGGGCCCTTTCAGCAGCTCATAGTTGGAGTATGTCACAAGTCAGCCCCACCCTCAAGCTTCTCCCCGCTCCCTCCCATCCTGATATTCTGGTTGCTTGAGAGTCTTTGAGAGTGTTGTGCTCAGGAGCCCTCAGGATTCCTCACTGCCTTTGGGGATATGAGTAGGCTCTTCATAGATCTGTCTTTCCCGCATCCGTTCAGCTCAGCTTCTTTCACTCCTCTCCAGCCTAGTCTTAACTACAATGTTTAATATTCCTCAGATATATCCTGAGGCTTCTACCTCTGCTTTTGCTAATATCGTCAGTCCTACCTGTTGTCCTGGTTATGTTTCAGTGCCATTTGTGCCATAAAGCCTTGCTGCCCTTTCCAATCCAAAGAGACCTATCCATTCACGTGCTTCTTTAATTCTCTCCTGCCCTCCTTGCATACTTCCTGGACAGGGACCCCTTCACACACCTTTATATCTGCTAGGAATGAAAGTTATTTTTTAAAAACCACTCTTGGTGTTGCTCCTATTGAATTTTGCCCCTAAGCCATCTCAGGTAGGCTGTATCCCATTTTAAAGTGTGTATCTTTTCATTGCTTCTCAAGTTTGATTCCTTGGTCAATCAGGGACATTAAATGAAGAATATTTTATAATGGACTGTTCAAAACTGGCTGACAATTTATTTGAAAGAAAACCAGCCAGGTACAGTGGCATGCTTCTGTAGTCCTGGCCCCTTGAGAGGCTGAGGCAGGAGGATTGCTTGAGGCAAGCYTGGGCAACATAGCAAGACGTTGTCTCAAACAAAAATAAAAATCCCAAAACCCAAGTTTCTTAAGTTGAAGGCTTTAATAAATAAATAAATAAAAATTTGACCTTCTCAGAGAAGGTAGATATACTTTAGTGTTATAGAATTTTTATTTTGTAATTGTTTCACTTGTGAACTGATAACTTGTACTGATTTAACTTTTCTTCTCCACTTAGCATGGAAGATGAAAAGGAAGATGGTAAAGCTATACCTACAGAATGTGCCATCAAGGTATTTAAAACAACCCTTAATGAATTTAAGAATCGTGACAAATATATTAAAGATGATTTCAGGTTTAAAGATCGCTTCAGTAAACTAAATCCACGTAAGATCATCCGCATGTGGGCAGAAAAAGAAATGCACAATCTCACAAGGTAAAGAAAATCATTGTGYTAGAAGTAACCTTGGGTAATTGCCTTTTAGTGTGAGGACTACTAGCCAGGCAAAAAGTCCATGCTTTCTCTTATATTCATTTATAGAAATAATGAAAAGCCTTGAAATTCTAGTGCTTCTGAGGTTATATTTCTATGTATATAACCGGAATTCATACTTTCAGGATAAAAAAGTCACTTTTCTTTCCCCAGTGACTTTTGAGGAAAATATTCTGCCTAGACATTTTATCACATTTGAATTGTCTTTCTAAAGAATTATAAACTGTCTAGCTTCCTGTTAGGCTTAGTACATATAATGATTTCCCTTTTTGTTTGGGAAAATGTTGTTTATTCTAATTTGTTAATTTGATGGGGTTAGGATCTTAACCAATCAAATTGATTTTCCTTTCATTTATTAGTCTTAGTTCTCAATTTCTAAGCAGTTTATTTTCTATCAAGGAATTTGTTTCATTCAACCAAGAAAATTAAGTTCCCTATTAAATATTTTCCCATTAATTAAATCTTCCTATTAATCTATAGAAAACTTGATTTTGGTTCTTTTCTAAAGATGTTTGGTTTCAAAAGCAATTATCCACATTTACTAGTTGCAAATTTCTTCTACTTACAGTTTTCAAGTTGAATAAATATCTTAGGTGGTTTTGCTGCCTCTCTGATCCCATTTCTATACAGCTAAGCTCTCATCCCTGCATTTCTCACTTTGTCAGCAGCTATCATAATCTTTAGTGTGAATTCAAAGACCTTTTGTGACATGAAACTTRACCATCTCTATAACTTCACAGATTGCTCTTCCCTGTCCTCACAAATCCAGCTATGTTGACTAATCTGCATTCCCCAAATGGACTGTGCTCTTGAATGTCTCTGTGCATTTTCTCATAATGTCTTAATTTGGTCTTCTTGCTCCCCTACTCTTTTAAAAAGCCTGTGTGCTCCTGTAATGCCTGCTCACATCTTTGCCAACATATGTATCACACTTCCCTCTATTAACCTCCTCATATGGCTGTTACTTCCACCACTCCATGGGTTTCCTATGGACAGAGGCTCTATCTTAGTGTTTTTGTGTTCCCATGTTGCTAGGGTGGGACATAGTGCCACCTCATTGCAGGCCTGTGTTAGGTGTTTGTTAAATAAATGACATACTTTCTCCTTTTGATCTTTGCATTCTTAATTATTTCTTTCTGTGTAGAATGCAGAAAGCGGGAATTCCTTGTCCAACAGTTGTACTGCTCAAGAAACACATTTTAGTTATGTCTTTTATTGGCCATGATCAAGTTCCAGCCCCTAAATTAAAAGAAGTAAAGCTCAGTAGTGAAGAAATGAAAGACGCCTACTATCAAACTCTTCATGTAAGTTGTGTCTTTAAAAGCACTCACATACTGCTGACCTTCTCTCTCAGAGSGGGGATCCCCTTTACCACTGAGCTGTATCCTTAGCTCCTTTTATTTTTTGAGACAGGTTCTCACTAAATTGCTTAGGGCCTTGCCACGGCTGGCCTTGAACTTAGAATCCTCCTGCCTCAACCTTCCGAGTTGCTGGGATTATAGGCATGTGCCACCATGCCCAGCTTCACACACCAACTTTTAAAAACATTTTTTCTAGCCGAGTGTGCTGGTATTCCCCTGTAGTTTCAGCTAGTTGGGAAATTGAGGCAGAAGGATCACTTTTGAGTCCAGGAATTGGAAGCTAACCTGGGCAACATAGGAACCCCCATATCAAAAGAAAAAAGAAATCGTTCTCTGAATTTAAAAAAAAAAAAAAAAAAAAAAAAAAACTTCTTCAAACAGTATTATTTAAAGGTGATATTAAGGGCAAACTACAGTTTGTAAAGAAATGTTAACATCATAGAGTTATTTTTACATTGATATTTGGTATCTTGAGTAGTTCTAGAAAACTTAAGAGATTTGTGGAACAAGAGAAAGCTTCATTGTTGACATTAGTGATATACAGCATGAAGCTGTTTTTCACAAAACTACCTTAATATTCACGTTACTAGTCTTAGTAGGTAAAGTGCCTCCTTAGTGTATATGTCTTTTTGAGAGTTCTGGCTCTAACAGTGAAGGAGGGACCTGTAGGTATGGCTGGGAAATAAGAACTTGAATTATAAGAAAGTGATGATGAAAATTGAAGGTAGTAGGGAATGCAGGCACATGTCAAAACTCTTAAGGGAGTTAGTCATACTTGGGACATAGTTGAGGCCTTTTTACCTTAAGAAAATGCTTCTATACTGTTGTGATTCCTCTGTTTTTCTAATTGAACACTGGCAAAACTTATGTGACTTTTGCGTAGTCTTTGTATGGGGACATCATGTCATGCAGCAATTGATCTGAATATGAAAGTGTTAATTGAAAATAATYTGTGAAGGTGTACTAGAAAGATTAGCCACCTTTCCCTGCCTCCAATAAGAGAAGAGTGAAAAGAAAATCAAGCCATTTTTCTGGATTCTTTGGGACATGGAGTGGTTGGTGATTAAATTGATGATAAACCTTTGTTATTTAATTTTATTTAGGCTAGAAAACAAATACATAATGTTGGGTTCTATAATGCTAGGAATCACTATCAATAATGAATATACTGTGCTACTTAATTTAAAAGAGTATCTCTTTTCTAACATGTTTGGAAGGAAATTACCTTTCCTGTTTGTACTCATAGAGGGATATTTGTCCTTTTATAAATGGAAGTAGCTTCCCTTATTCCCCTGATTATTGACTGCAGACACAACTGCCATCTTACCTACGTGAGAATCCAAATCTGACTTTTGGTCTCCTGATCTTGCTATCCCAAGAGCGAGGAAATAACAAGTTACTCTCCATTGTTTCACTATTTCTTCACTATCTAAATGACAGCAAAATCCTAGTCCTAGATTATACAAAGTAAAGAGGAAATAAGTTTTTTGGACTAGGACTGTAACTCAGTTGTAGATCATTTACCTGGCATGAGCATAGCCTTGGGTTTGATCCCCAGCATCACAAGAAAAAAAGAAGCTAAGTTTTATGGGCTGGGGATGTGGCTCAAGAGGAAGTGCGCTCACCTGGCATGCGAGTGACCTGGGTTGGATCCTCAGCATCACATACAAACAAAGATGTTGTGTCTGCCAAAAACGAAAAAATAAATATTAAAAATTCTCTCTCATCTCACTCCAGTAAGATTGGCAGCCATTATGAAGTCAAACAACAATAAGTGTTGGCGAGGATGTGGGGAAAAGGGTACACTTGTACACTGCTGGTGGGACTGCAAAATGGTGAGGCCAATTTGGAAAGCAGTATGGAGATTCCTGGGAAAGCTGGGAATGGATCCACCATTTGACCCAGCTATAGCCCTTCTCGGACTATTCCCTGAGGACCTTAAAAGAGCGCACTATAGGGATACGGCCACATCAATGATTATAGCGGTACAATTCACAATAGCTAGACTGTGGAACCAACCTAGATACCCTTCAATAGATGAATGGATAAAAAAAATGTGGCATCTATATACAATGGAGTATTGTGCAGCAATAAGAAACGACAAAATCATAGAATTTGCAGGGAAATGGATGGCATTAGAGCAGATTATGCTAAGTGAAGCTAGCCAAGCCCTAAAAAACAAATGCCAAATGTCTCCTTTGATATAAAGAGAGCAACTAAGAACAAAACAGGAAGGAAGAGCATGAGGAAAAGACTAACTGTAAACAAAGACGAATGGGGGGAGAGAAAGGGAGAGAGAACTGAAAGGATTTGCAAATGGTAGGAGACCTTCAATGATACACAAAAGTATAAGAGGTTATGATGGGCAAGGGGGGGGGGGGAAAGGGAGAGAATTGAACAACAGCTGAGGAGGCAGAGAGGGAAGGTGGGAGGGGAGGGGAGGGGGGATAGTAGGGGTTAGGAAAGGTAGCAGATTAAGACAGTCACTAATATGCCATTATGTAAAAATGTGAGTATGTAACAGATGTGATTCTGCTATCTGTATTTGGGGTAGAAATGGGAGTTCAAAACCCAATAGAGTCAAATGTATGAAAGATGATTTATCAAGAGCTCTGTAATATTTGGAACAATCAATAAAAAAAAAAAGGAAAAAAAATTCTCTCTCTCTCTCTCTCACCTCTCTCTTTAAAAAGAAAATAAGTTTTATAACCTTGTTTTTCTGGAAGATATTGGTTGCTGTACACATTTTAACTATGTATATAAATTAGAATTAGTTTTCTAAATGTTTGCCTTTCTTCCCCCAGTTGATGCAGCAGTTATATAATGAATGTACACTTGTACATGCTGACCTCAGCGAGTATAACATGCTGTGGCATGCTGGAAAGGTGAGGAGAACATTGTGTTAAAGTTCAGATTTAATTACCTGGTGTAAATTATTGAATGTAAATACATCAGTGTGCTCTCTATTTAAATAGGTCTGGTTGATTGATGTCAGTCAGTCTGTAGAACCAACCCATCCTCATGGCCTGGAGTTCTTGTTCCGTGACTGTAGGAATATTTCACAGGTAGGTGTGTAACCAGTGTGTCTTTTTTTGTAGATTGTTATAGATTTAAATATTTTTACTATCAGTGAGTGATGGCCATATTCTTAGAAATTGAAGGAAGGGATATTGGCTGCCTTTAGAATATGAATATAAAGATCAGGGCTAGGGTAGCTCAGTGGTAGAGCACTTGGCTTAGAATGTGTGAGTCACTGCATGTGTCTCAGCACTGCATATAAATAAAATAAAAGTCCATTGACAACTAAAAGAAAAACATTTTTAAAATCACTTTATCAGATTTGATTTTCAGCAAATTTTGATTCTGTGCCTCACATTTGAGCAAAATTTCCAAGAGATAAGTTTTGGTTTTGGCTCTTACTATTCAAGCAGTTGAGTAGACATTTAATGTGTGCATCACACTTAAAAAGAAGCTGACATTCAGTGAGAGTCTGCATACTTACTGCCATTACTGTTGCCATGAAAAGGAGAACAGTCTCCTTAGTAGGACAGTGTACGGTCACTAATAYTGCAAAGTAAAAGGATTGGAAGGAAGCACAAAGTTGGGTCACAGTTGTTTGCCATTTCTAAGGGATATGAGTTGTTAGCAACAGGTTTAGATAGGAATGATCTTTCTAAAGGACAGAATAATCTCATTTTGGAAAYGACCTCTAAACCTGCTTGAAATTTTTAATTCAGGAGATTTAGTGCATGTTATTATATCTACACATTCAAAGAAGTGCCAAACAATTTTATGTAGACCATTTTTATAGCTGAAGAAGATGCAGTATGACAAACGAAATCTAAGAGATGAAATGAATATGTAGAGGACGAAATCAAGGAGAACCTGAGTATAGTTAAACTTGAAGTGGGAATATCAGTGTCTGAAATATGGGATTGTGGCTCAGCGATGGAGCGCTCGCCTAGCGTGGGCGGAACCTGGGTTCGATCCTCAGCACCACATAAAAATAAAGGCATTGTGTTGTGTCCATCTACACCTAAAATAAATATATATATATATATATATTTTTTTTTTTTTTTTAAGAATTCAGTGGTGCCTTACAAGTATACTCTTGTTTATAAGAGAATCGTGTCTTTTACTGATGTCCTTATATTTTGTTACTAGTTTTTCCAGAAAGGAGGAGTAAAGGAAGCCCTTAATGAACGGGAACTCTTCAATGCCGTTTCAGGCTTGAATATCTCAGCAGACAATGAAGCTGATTTCTTAGCAGAGGTAAGTGATTACATTTCTTTTTCACCTTGCTGGTGATGAAAAGATGCATAGAGGGGATCCCAGAAACCCAGAGCTGATTTTATGCTCTCCTCCTTCAAAACAAAATTGAGACTTTTTTCCTGTTGAGATGTTGTTCTCAGTCTTTTTCAGGCCTAAAACTTAGCATAAACATATAGCAAAATACTTCTTCAAGGAGTTCAGTTTTGGTTAAGATGAACAAGTATTTCTAGTTTAGGCCTATTTTCCTTACTTTGAGAGTGAGGAAATTGGTGCACATTCTGTTAAGAGCAGGTACCAGTAATACATAGTACCGGCTCTTAATAGAACATCAGAAGTTAGATGTCATTACCTCTGGAAAAATTCTTTTATTAAAATATCAGTTACCAGCCAGGTACTGTGGTGCACACCTGTAGTCCCAGTGGCTCAGGAGGCTGAGGCAGGAAGATTGCAAGTTCAAAGCCAGCCTTAGCAATTTAGCAAGGTCCTAAGCAACTTATCAAAACCCTGTCTTAAAATAATAAAAAATAAGAAAAAAAGAAAAAGGGGCTGGGGATATGGCTCAGTGGTTAAGTACCCCTGGCTTCAATCCCTGGTACAAATATATATATTATATGTATATATATAATATTGTATATAATATAATATATGTGATATGATATATTGTAATATAAATGTTATATGTAAAATATATATGCTATACATATAGTGTGTATATATGTAATCAGTCACTGAAGCAGGTAAGCAAACAGAACTCCTTTTAGAAGATTGCTCAGAATTGWACCAAAACTAAAAAGTGAAACAGTAGCTAATGATTCTCAACATTTTACCAAAGCAGAGAACGATTACACAGTCTGCTCCAGAACTTCCTAGTATGACTTGAATTTGGCCACTCTCTGCTGGAGCCTATGGCTACAAGAGGAGTGCCAGAAAGATGGTAAATTGTGGCATACTAGTACAAGATAATAGCTCAGTAACTAGGTGTTAGTGTTGTTTACAAATGTTGAAAATTCCTTTTTCTGTTCCTGAAAAGCTTTATRGAGTGCACAATAAGACCTATCATATTCCAGTTACTAGCTTCATAAATATATGCAGTATTGACCCTGGGAGTGTAGTCAAGTAAAAACATATCTGTATATGTACCTACGTGTGTGCACACACATAGAGTAATTCTAATTCAAGGCCAGCATCAATAGGAATGACTCAGTATTAAGAGAGTGAAAATACTGCCTTCATCTAAAGTATGATTTCTGCCAAGTAGGAATTTGACAAATGAATTCATTGTATTGATTTTGTAGATAGAAGCTTTGGAGAAAATGAATGAAGATCATGTTCAGAAGAATGGAAGGAAAGCTGCTTCGTTTTTGAAAGATGATGGAGACCCACCAGTGCTATATGACGAATAGTACCTGCGCCCACTGCTTTCTTTGTCAACACAATGGTGATTGTCGGCTGCAAAGCTAATGAAGTTGTGGGTGACTTGACGTACCAAAACAAGGAGGGGTGAACAATGGTGCTTCTGTGCTTTCCCCCTTGTAACCCATGTGCCAGATGTGTGGAATTTTTAGCTAAGCATTGAGAGAATAAAATGTCACTACCTCTCATCTTATGAACAGGATAATATAATTCTTTAACAGCTGTAGATCATCTAGTTGAAGGAAACTGAATTTTACATGACTCATGATATGAAATGTTTTGATGAGAAATTTTAAAACTAGGTAACATTTCTAAATATGGGAAGGAAAGGACAGATGTGTTTACAAGGGAGGTTTTGTGACCACACCTTTGCGATATTCACCTTCCTGTTTTGTGTTGCATTTCTCCTCAATTATTTTATCAGCCTAAAATTAGCCTTTCTCAATTCTTCTTCCGGATTTTGACCATGATTCTAAAAGAAAGTGTCTTCTTAGTGGGTATTACAAATGGAGATTACAAATGGCCTATTCCTACTAGCCATTCTGGTTTCAGAATGGCTAGTAGGAATAGGCATGAGCAATGTAGTTTTTATTGGTACATCTTGAAAATGAACAAAATGTTACTTTTCCCATGCTCATAATCAAGAAAAGCATCATAGGTTTCTAAAAGAGACAAATATATGAGAACTTCTTCATCAACCAATAGTTTAATTTTCAAGTTTTCTACATTTAGGTTAAAAGGTTGGGATATAACTCACAGCATGGCTGCTCTACATTTATAATGAAGATGTAAATTATTTAGAGGGACAGAATATAAGACTTAACTATACTTGCTATATTTTAATGAAATCAGTGAAAGTTCAGATTACATTTCATTAAAACCATATACTTATTGATTATTGATTAATTTTGAGAAAAATAACTAGAGATATTAAAGGATGAAAAATATGTATAAAGTAAGTCAGATACCAAACAAACCAACTAATTTGAGCTGCCTATTAAAACACTTTTAATAGTTTTTAGCGATGGCTACACACTGCCTTTTTTTTTTTTTTTTTTTTTTTAAGAGAAAAGCAATCACAGTACTGGAAAAGTACATTGGCTTTGTTAGGACTGAAGTTTATTAACTACAACATAATCATTCCTCCAATTACTGAAGTTATACTGGAACCAGTAAAGACCCAAACTTTCTGTCCGGTAGTAGAAAGTAAAAATCTAAACATTATTTACATTTAGAAGCTTTTCTTTTAACATTATTTTAAAATGCCAAATATGTTCTTTCTAGAAAAATATTTGTTTCTGTTATATAGCTTTTAATTGCATTTCAGAGAAGTGTGATTTGGGGTAGGCTCATATTTCTGAAATGTTTACTACTCTGAAATAAAGATTTAGATCACTGGCAATTATTGGCTTTACAGAAATTTCAGAGAACTGATTTTTGAAATAATAATTTAAAACTTTGTTTTCTGACATACTGTTTGACAAAAAGCAGCAAACCATTGCTTGGAGTGTGCTGTGAACATGCCTTTTAAGAAATTAAAAATGCAGAGATCATTTTAGAATTGTTTTTTTGTGTGGTTTCTTCCCGTTCCTTCTATTAACTTAWATCCTGGCACCAAATTAATATTTTTATATACAATTCAAGAATACTGTTTTAAGTAAAAATTTTCCCCTTCAACTCATATTTTAATTTTACTCTCAACTGGTCTACTTTATATTACAATTAGGATTTCCCCTCCCTCTTATGGATCAGAGAGTAAATATTTCACATAGTGGAAAATGTTGGTTTTACTATAAAATTCAATACAAAAAACATAAATATATATAAAAATGGAAATAGGGATATTTTACCTCACCATTAATGGAAGTGGATATAAATAGGTATAAAATAAGTTATCAATAAGGATGACTGTAAAGAATTTTTATTTCAATAAAATAATTCATTGACAGTTTCTTTTATAATTAAAAAAAGATTTTTTTCTGCTTACCAAAAATAATGCAAATTGACTTGAATTTAAATATCACAGAAATTTAGAAATGTTTTAAAAAATCTCTTGATTTCCAAAATCTACTCTTAATAGTTTGGCATACATCCCTGCCAATTTATTTTTTACCCTCAGCATGTTATTTTCTCTTTATAAAAACTCTTCAAACAAAAATTGGGATGAAGCTGATAGGGAAATGTTGAACAGCGTGGATGCCCTTAGGAAGATGGAGGAGCCAGAGGTCCTGAGATGTGGAAKAAGGGGATGCATTTCTTACTGCTCACTCAGGCTCTGACCATCACAAGAGACTGTTTTCTACACCTTTTGAAATTCCAAGCCTTTTTTCAGCACTTTAGAAGTGGGGCTGGGGGGAAGCTCATCTGATTTTATTTTCAAACCTTGATACTTAAGTTTATGAAAAAATATATTTTTCCTTTAAAACTTTACAGGTATTTCATAAAGAGTAAGTTTTCTAAGTTTATGCTTGGTCATATCCATTTACTAGGTTGAAAGCCTCTAATTTTTTTCTTTTATTTTTCAATTTCCAATTCAAAAATAATAGGATTTTTTTTTTTTAATATATCAAGGATTCAGCCCAGGGGTGCTTAACCACTGAGCCATATCCCTAGCCCTTTTTATTTTTTATTTTTAGACAGGTTCTTGCTAAGTTGCTTTGAACTTGCGATACTCCTGTTTCAGCCTCTTAAACTGCTGGGGTTATAGGTGTGCACCTGGCAAAAGATTACATTTGGAAGAGCATGACTAGACTTTAAAACTTTCTCGAATGTAGCTAGCTTTTTGAGAGTTAAGATAAAATATAGGGGGCTGGGAGTGTGGTTCAGTAGTATAGCATTTCCCAAGCATGTAAGATGTTGGGGGTTTGATTTCCAGCATTGTGGAAAAAGATAAAATGCAGTAAATAAGAAAGCAAATGGAGGGGTAAGGTGGGGTATTCATTACAGAATAAATGCATGAGCAACTCCTTTAAGCTCTATGAACGTAATGCTTTTTGATATGAAAAGAACATTTGAACAGAATACTTGACAAAAAGAATGAAAAGTATTTGGGGAAAGCCTCAAATGAGCCAATATTTATGAAAAATGGGAAAACAACAAAAAGGATTTTTAAAGTTAAATCCAAAGCTTGAAGAACTGTGCCCATTGTTTGAAGTATTTGGTGTGTTATTAAATAACAAAATAGCTATTCATCTATTTAATCTTAAGTTGTATCATATTTATAAAAACCTAAGAGCCTGCAATAGCCCGAATGTGTCCTCCACAAATGTATATGTTGAAGCTCCAACTCCTAATGGGACTGTATTTGGAGGTAGTTAACCCCTTATATTATGAGTTGGACAGAATAGTAAATCATGCCAATGTGACAAGGCAAGGGGGGTTGGCTAGAGTGGTTTATGGTGGAGAAGCGACTAGGAAGGTTTAACAAGGTGAGCTTGTGCAGATTCTTCATCTTTGCCTCATCTCTGGATATACAGTCAATATACAGGGATGTCTTTTTCTCTAGGTAGAGGGTGGCACCTTCCATGTAGAAGTTTCATCTACTTTTAGGAAGGTCAGGGCTGTCCTTCCTGTATCTGCTGTTTTATTTTTAAGTTTCTTTAATAATCAATGTGTGAGGGTGGCATGTCTTGGGCTGGCATGTTCTGTACCCCTTCACATGACTGTTGGCCCCAGGCCTGAATTTCTTGCTGGCTGTTGGCAGGAGATGTCAGTCCTTAAGGTAGCAACCTCTACAAGAGCCCCGCTTGCATGCCCTTGCCACGTAATAGCTGGTTTCCCCAAAAGCCATTTATCCAAGAAACAATAAGGTAGGAGTCAGTGTCACTTATCACTTATCCCCAGAAGTTTTACTGTCATTTGTATAATATCCTACTGGTATACAGGTCAGCCCTCTTCATCATAGGAGGGGTCCACATGGACGAAGTAGGAAGAGGCAGGAATCATTGAAGGCCATAATGGATGCTGGCTACCCCTATATCCAAAACTGTACAGCCACCACCTCATCAACTCCTTCCCTCTCCCCCGATTTATTTTTCTACAGAACTTACTCCTATTTAATACATTTTACTCAACTCTATTTCTACCCGATACATTATTAAGCCCCATGAGAGCAGGAATTTTTTCCTGCTTTATTCATTGCTGTATCCCAAGTATTAAGATGGTGCCTGGCACATTTGAGTAGAAGCTCCAATGTATTTTGAATATATGAAAGGTTTATTATAGCTATATTGGCTCAGAGCTAAAACTGGGATAGAAATTACATTGATTTCTGAGTTTTTAATAACTATCCACAAAGGAGATAGGCTTTGTGGCAGGACATGAGCGTCTTATTACCTAAATTGTTAACACAGGGGCTGGATGATCTCAATAGTGGGTTTGTTACAGATGAGTACGAAGGAGTTGGTTGGGTGAGTTAATTTTTGTGGAACTTTGTGTATCTTGAGTTACCCTTACAGCAACAACAAAAATCTACCTCTATCCTTTAGGGTCCCACCAACTGGGTCCAAGAATTGAATCAACATAGGTTAGGTTAACAGGAGAAAAGCATACAAACTTATTTAATACAGGTTTTACATGGCACTGGAGCCCTTGTAAGGAAACAAAGACCCAAAGAAGCAATTAAGAGTCAGTTACTCATATACTGAATTAGAGTAGTCATGAAGAAGCAACTAAATTATATGAGAAGGCTTAAAAGATGAGATTTTTTTAAAAAAGTGTCAGCCCCCACAACAAGGTGTGTGCATAGTTCTTTTGGTCTTGATTTCTCATCTTTGAGGATAAAGATACTTTTCTTCTAGTATAGTCAGGGCAATTTTCGTATGCAAATTWAAAAAGTTTTTTACTTATCAGTGGACTTTATTTATTTATATCCAATGCTTCATACATGCTAGGCAAGCACTCTACCACTGAGCCACAATCCTAACCCCTCCACTTTTTTTTTTTTTTTTTTTTTTTTTGGTACCGAGGATTGAACTCAGGGGCACTTGACCACTAACCCGTATCCCCAGTATTTTATTTAGAGACAGGGTCTCACTGAGTTGCTTAGTACCTCGCTTTTGCTGAGGCTGGCTTTGAACTTGTGATCCTCCTGCCTCAGCCTCCTGATCCCTTGGGATTATAGGTGTGTGCCACTGTGCCAGTTTTCATGGGGGAATTTCATCTGCATTTAAGAAACAGCATGAGGGTCAGAGTTATCTTCTTGTACCTGTTGTTTTTCAAATGCCCTTGATTTAAATAGTCAATATTCAGGGTTGGCATTTTTTAACTCCTTAAATCTATACTTAATTTTTTTCTGTATGAAGATAATTTATGTTCACTTCTAAAATTAATGCCAAACCAAAAAAAAAAAAAAATCAGAGTTCAAGACAACTATACATTATTTCTAAGACTTTTTATATATACATATAAATATATAAATAAGCATGCATTCAAACAAAATATTCATGAAATAAATGTGATATGTAGTCAAGTATTGTTAGTAAGTATAGGTCCATACTTTTAAAAACAGCTTCTTATATAGAACAAAAGTTATTCACGCACATTTTAAAACCAAAAGAAATTTAGAAAGTTCAACAAAAAAAGTAAAAGTTACCCAAACACCTGCCCAATAGTGAGTCACTGCAGATTTTGGTGTATGTCCCTTGAGACACCTGTCATATAGTTTGACAAAGAATAACAACAAGCAAAGCTCAAAAAGCCAGGGAAACCCTATGCTTTTGCTTTAGCTTTTAGAAGTTGTTAGAAGCACAATCTAGGCCATTCGGGTTTAAAATAAGTATGTGTAGCTGCTTGTCTTACACACCAGGAGGTACAGGGCTCTGGCAAACAGGGCTAGAGTAAAATAAGGAAGAGAAAGAAAAACTAGTGAACTCTGCTGATTCATTCACCCTTAGGGCAGGAAGGAGACCCTAACCTCATCTAAGGCTGGGGTGGCTGGGGGCTGCACTTGGTTCTTCCTCTAATTAAGCTGACTTTCTCCTAGGTAGGTGCCCCCCACCCTGTGTCCCACAGAAAGTCTGGAGTTTGCTAGGACTTTTCAGCAGGATTTGAACCTCCATTTTTACTACCCCAGTCCTGAATATACCTAAAACAATGTTTTTGTTTATTTCAGTAATTGGAATTAAACTCAGGGGCACTTTAACACTGAGCTACATCCCCAGCTCTTTCTCTTTATTTTGAGACAGGTTCTTGCTAATTTGCTCAGGGCCTCCCTGAATTGCTGAGGCTGGCCTGGAACTTGTGATCCTCTTTGTTGGATATGGAAAATGACAAACCCTGAGATAATGTGGCCTGGGAGAGGGAATGAGGGAGAAGACAACACATTGATCCTTTCCCAATACTTTCTTTCCCAGTGACAAGACAGGTTCTGGGGACGATATATCCATCAAGTCTGAAGTGAYAGTCTCTGGGAAGAGGCCAAAGCATTGATCCTTCCCTAAACCAACCCTTTCCCAGATACTGACTGCTGACCC